TATAGTATACATATACATATACATACACACACACACATATATATATATATATAAATATATCCACATATTTACACTTTCATTTATGAATACACAGTCACGCTTTTATAATTGTTTTCATATTCACACTTTCATAGTTGTTTACATAAAAGTATGCAAATTTATACGTATATACATATACAACTTGTAACAGCCCGTAATCTACACTATGTATTTTGTGTTTATCAAGGCTGCGTAAATGCGAAAAGTGTAAGCCAGACGTATCAGTAAACAAATTCTTCTTTTATTTATAAAACGTACCAAAGCGATCAACGGCACGAGATTGGAATCGAAAATACTGTCGAATCTCTCGTGGTATCTCGCGATCGTCTGTTCGTTGCCATTGAATCCTTCGTCAATTAGATCGCCCAATATTGTCTGGGCAGTTTTGTATTTTAGACAGTGTAAAGGTGAATTTATGTACACCGAACGCAGGCGGATGTCAGCTATATCGGTAATTATATGAACAATCGCTATTCAATATACACATCTGACGCAGACGAAGCCTTCGGGCTGTTGGACATTGTATGTTTCCTGAAGAGAACGCGCGTCTGCTCACTATATGCGACATAACCGCTACATAAACGATCAACGTCAATCGTAGATGGTTTATATCGTACGAAGTGCAATATATCGATAACGTATAGGAATGCCTAGCGTTTCACTGAAGCATACCCCACGCGTGACTACTGTTAATTTAGAGTATTCAATGTATTATCAAATGTATGAAAATGAAGCCTACGATACTGAGGTTGTATGTTGTGGTACAACTATTAACTCCAAAGCGCACGGACGCATGGCACCAGGTGTGATTAAATTGATCGGTCCCTCATGAATGTGTACAGTACTATATACATGCATGAATAAAGTTACTTTATCTGTACCCGTATGATGTATAAGCAGTAAAAGCCTAAATTCTATACCGTACGATGTTCCTCGAATTATACGACGTGTGCAGGCGACGATTTTACGATTTCACGATTTACATGGTATGCTGTATCAAAGCATCCAGATCAAAAACACTACTGATTAATGTAAAATACATATCTAAACATACTTCTCGTTACAATCCGTATTACCGATCGTAACTGAAAACTTGTTTTATGCCTGTATTGTGGGGTGACATTGGAAAACTATGGGGAAAAGCAGACAAAATATACAGGCCAAAACATGGTGAACACACCTATGGTTCAAAAGGTCACCCAAATTCGGAAGCACTATCTTCCCAAACCACAAATACGCAACATTGCATATGTGTGCGAACGTCTTTCTGAAATTTATTCGAATGTAATAGTTTCTAGATTTCCAGACAAGATCATCGAACGGAAACGTGTACTCAGCTGATCATAATAGCCCAACGATATAATACAACGAAAAGATAAAAAATTCAGATCAAAATCAGTTTTTACTACTTACCACTACATCAGGCTTCATCGCCTGCACCATGGAGCTGTAGGACGAACGCAGATAGCGGTCGGCATCCTATATAGGGCGCAGCCAACAAACCACGAATGATGTAAGAAGGATTGGTGGTAGATATATTAGGTCATACATGAGTGGCTAATTTTAGGGTATAACTACCTATAGAAGAACCGTATCAGTGGATAGTGTCGTGTTATAATTGAGATTATTTTATCACAGAAACGCCTTTTAACACAGAAACGCATGTGAGGTATAAATATGTGAATCTTTTAAACTAGCGCTGTACAGTCAAATCCAGTGTGTGCTTGGTCGCATTGTAGAGTGGGTATTATAAAAGCATGACTGCTAGCACTGTCACTTTATGGTTCAGTACTGCAACAAAGAACACTATAGCCCCTAATACATACAAACAAAGACACGTATGACGATTTAACCATGTATGCATAATGAGCACGAAAGCAAGAGAAATAGCACAATATGCTTGAGTGTCTAGCAGACACTCAAGCATATTACATTCTGACAATTTTATAAATTGTAATCGGTTGTGTCTATAAGAGATAATCCCTTTTCGAAATATTTTGACTGCTGCACTAGGGACGGAACGCATTGCTTTAAATGGGTCGTACGAGAGTGCAAGGTAAGATGAGAGAGATTGTTGAGAACATTGAACGATCAGAACAGCGTCGTATGACCCAGTAATATATGGTTTATTTTAGCCATGATTCTGTTCAATTAGCCAAGCCCACTCTGACACATGTTATGAGATTAATCTACTTATATACAGTTGTACCCACACAGAAGCAATCTACTTACGTTCATCACTAAGCACCAAGCATCTATAAAATACGTACTGGACACTTAGGAGTGTGTTTGTGTGGGAATTACTATTCAAATATTCGGTTATGGAGGGAGACGTTCACAAAAACATAAACCGTACCCACTAGCGATATATAGAGCTGGACAAGCACATACAAGTATAACGATCTGCACAGACACGCATATTAATGCATAAGAAACCCTCTCCTATGAGATACACGCCCATCAAGGGCATATAGAAACCTTACCCATCTCGTGAAAGTCCAGGGATGCCAAAAATCACCCAGTACTTTCGGGTTCGCTATTGCTATTACTTTCACACAGGTATTGCTCTCCTGACAGGCAAGATAAGCTGTGCGTAGATGCGAATGAATGTGGGGAAGATTGACGTTAATACCGAATACATGGTACGCAGGTTATACATCTATACTAAATAAAAAGAAGTCTTGCAACCTTTTACGACTCCACAAAAAAGCATTGTTCTCGATTTCACCAGTCATGATGAGCATAGATAAGGCCAAATTTAGATGGACAATTTCAACTGTGCTAATGATCGTTCAAAGCCAACCAAAGTATCGCTAAATATAAAATCATACCAATGAAACACATAATTATTT